AATGAAACCTTGAATTATACTGTCTTACAACTGGAATTATTTTGTCAAAGGTCAGGTAAATGAGACAAGATCCCATATGTATTGGGTATGAAATGTCCAATTTCTTTAAGTTTGATTCAAGATTGGACATTTCCTATTTAATGACCTGAAAATATCTTAAATGCCTGGGATAAGTTAATGGTATACTTTGTTTTAGTTAAACAGTTAGATTCCCCCAGCAGGAGGGGGGACCAGTGAGCATGGCCTGCTGCCATGCGGTCAAGAGGAAACTGGGGGTGGGAGGACCCACCAACTGACCACCCCCAGGCACATGCTTGAAGCCACATGGTCCCTCTGGTGCCCGATGCTGTTGGAGTATTATGGAGCCCCTGTGGGAGGTCCACAGGGGGGCCAGAAAGTGATGCCTTCCCCACCCTGCCCCGTGCAGATCCCGGCTGGGGAATTGTTGCCACCACCGCAGAGCTGTGGCTCCAGGCAAGGGTAAGGAGGTGAGCTGGGAGTGGGCAGCCAGGGGAGAGCTGGGGTCCCTGCATCCCATCTCTGATATGCCCTGCCATCAAAGCTCTCACTGGGGTGCACCTGCTTTCCACCCTTCCTCCACGCTGCTGCAGGCTGTCTGTGGCTGATTGATGAAGGCAGGCTCGAGGGATTGGGGAGTCCCCCATACTTTCTGCACTTCCAGCAGCCTGTGTTGGTGGTAAGTGGCACCCAGGCCAAGCTCAAATGCGTGATCCTGGGGCAGCCGCTTCCCATTGTTGGGTGCGAGAAGGGAGAGCAACCTGAGCTTCCTGGCAAATGGTGCTGGGCACAGCCTTCAAGCAGCACATTGCCCACCTATGCAGGGTCTACATGTGTCAAGCCTACAGTGAGGCCAGCGAGGCCTACATGGTGGCCACCATCACCGTGCTGGAGCCACTGGCCCCTCAGCCTGAGCCCCAGCCCACCTAGCGCCTGCTGCCAAGGGTGGGGGAGTGTGTAACTTGAATTCTTTAGTCCCACATCCACTAAATTATGACTCAGGGTTCAAAATGGTCTCCCCTGGCAGAAGCTCAATTCGGCCACAGGATACCCTTAACCAGAGGAGGACAATTTATGTACAGTTAATGTTCTTTATAGCACCTCTTGTATATTCCTGGATAGAGCTGGAACACATTCTACTAAGTGAGGTATCCCAAGAATGGAAAGACAAGCACCACATGTATTCACCATCAAATTGGTATTAACTGATCAACACATAAGTGCACATATAAGAATAACATCTATTGGATGTTGGGCGGGGGGGGGAGGG